TCCAGGCGCACATGTGGGTCCCGTGTGAGGACAGGAGGCATGCTGGCAATTGGGGGTCGTGATGCAGGTTCTTCTGAGCATAAGCAACGAGCAGGTAGTTGCGGTGAGAGATTCTCACATTTCTCTGGTGGTGGGGTCCCATCCAGTAATGCGGGCTTCCGGTTCTGCGACCGGAGGGGTTGGAGTCGACGGTCGTGGTCTCGTGCCAGTGGGGTGTCGACGTCGGTTGCGTTGAGGCAGAGAGCGGGGCACCTCAGGTAGGTCAGACTGGAGCCAGTCAGGGATCTCCACTGGGGCGGCTTCGAGGAAGGTGAATAGGGCCGGAAGTTGGTCCGGGTTGCGCAGTACAAACGATTCCCCATTCTTGCGGATGCTTAGGCAGAAAGGGTAACCCCAAGAATAAAGTGCCCCAGCTCCACGGGTTTCAGCAAGCAATGGTTGAAGCATGCGGCACATCTGTAGGGTGCGCCTGGACAGGTCAGGAAGGAGGGTGATGTCCCTACCCTCAAAGGGAGTCGGTCCCTTGCGCCAAGCGTGGTGGAGGATGGTTTATTTTACCGTGTAGTGGTGTACTCGGCAAATGACGTCCCTGGGGCGGGTGTCCCTGTCCGGTCGTGACCCACCCACCCGATGGACCCGGTCAAGTTCCAGGAGGGAGTCAGGAGGTTTATCTATTGTAGTGTTGAGGATGCGGGTTACTACTGCCCTGAGGTCTGCCGTAACCGTGGTTTCACGAAGGCCGCGTAGCTTAATGTTATTGCGACGGGAGCGGTTCTCCAAATCGTCATGGGACATTGTCATGGAGGTAATTCTGGCTTCCTGATGCAGGACTCTGGTTTCCAGGTCCGTCAATCGCTGGGCCACAGCGTCATGGTCTGCATGGAGTGAGGCGACCCGGCCCTCTAGGAGAGAGACCGAGGTTGTGATCCCAGAGATGTCCTGCTTCAGGGCTGCTTCCATGTTGGAGAACAGCACCGCCATGTCTCGCTTAGTGGGGAGGGAGAGTAGAATGGCCGACATCTCACCTGCTGAGAGAGGCATCCCGGGTTCCAGCGGGGGCCCGGTGAAGGTCGGATGAGGCCGCCCAGCATGGGCATCTGTTCTACAGGTCCCGTCGGCAGGGGAAGTCCCGCTGAGGCTCGGGATGCAGGCGTAGTGGTAGGCTGCAGCGGTTCAGGCGGCGCCATGCGGCTGGCCGTGGCGGATCGTGTAGAGACGGCTGGGGAAGAAGGGGTGTAAGTCAACGTAGGGCATCCCGTTATCATCCCCCGCAGCTTTGCACCTCTTTGACATCAGGCGAGAGAGTTCTGAGACGTCGGTAATTGTTCGATGCCAGGATAGCAGCGGAGCTCAGAGATTCAGAGTCTCTACACCGCCATAGTCAGGCCACGCCCCTGTGTTTTTTCTTTTGACAGGTTCCCTTTTATAGTCAGAGCAGGTAGCAGATGATAGCTCCACATTTAGAGAGTCCATATCATTCCACTTAATTCTACATGGGTAGTAAATTAACTGCTTCCATTATCGAGCAGCCCAGCTTGTAGTTTGAAGACTCTAATTATTCACAACACAGAGCGATGTTTAGCGCGTCGATGATGTTATCTTATTTGACCATTTGATTTATTCTTTTCATTCAAGTGGTTGTTAGCAAAAGTAAATTCTTATCCAAACACATTAACACAGGAAAGTGCTGGTGAATGCCATGCTCCTGTTTGTGTCTACAATGGCCACATAAACTAACGCCACTATCATTTTAGTACATTTTTGTTTTTTTTTCAAGAAAATGTAAATCTTTTTATTTAATTGCCAGACACGCGCAGATATTTGCATGTCTCTCAGAGTGCCATAGATGAGCCAATCTGAACCAGAGAACAAAATCTTGTCCATCATATTGCAGTAGGAGATTGATCTGCTCAGGTCCGGAAGCTGACAAATGATCTAATAGAGTTTATGGGTGTAGACACATTGGGGTTGATTTACTAAGGGCTAGACCACACTAAGCGCGCTCCAGGAGCAGAGCAGTTACAGATCGGATCAAAACTACGTCCAATGTATTCCAATGGTATTTTGGGCTCTAGTTCACACCGCAGCATTTAGTTCCACAGCATGTAAAAAAAACTGCAGCAAGCCCCATTTTTCCTGCTTTGGAACGCCCCAGAAAGCTTGCAAACGCATCAAAAACGCCCTGTAACACACTGAAAGCCCATTTTAGGCAAAATTTACAAAAACGGCCCGGAACGCGGCAGAAAAACGCGTCAGAACACACTGCACTCCGTGTGCAGAAACTCATGCAGATCTGGTGTGCATTTGGTGAACAAGCCCTAAAGGCAAAAAAGCTGTGATAGGGCTCTGGTATGGTTTTTAAGGGGAGACCCAATGCAAAAACACAAAAGTCCCACCTTCACATCAGTACCCCCAGCAGAGGTCCCTTTCATTTTACAGATTTGTTGAACGCATTACAGGAAGTGCAGGGAAGAGCGAATTACCATTTTCCAGAATTAATATGTAAATATTTACTCCTAATAAAATGTTTCTATCAAGGAACATCAAACAATCCATCTATCAGCTGCAGGCTACGGTATTCAAATACAATGACATCTATAAAATAATCAGCGATGTTCTACTTAAGATGCTAATTGGTAAATAGAATGACCTGTTTGATGATATTAGTTCTGTTTGTAGTTTTTATGATGTCTCCAAGTCTCTGTTTCTACTTCTGATGATTAAGTACCAGTTTCAAGCAAAATCTTTTTTTTTTAGCCTGCGGGCCGAGCGAAAAAAAATATAACAGACTCTTCCATCCACCCTAAACAGTCTGGATGGACAAATCTCCCACTGTGGCTACTGCATACAGACAGCAGGCGCCCAGAATACATGAACATGACTGCAGCTGCTTGGTTGCAGTCTCTCTTCTGTTGAAAGTTTTCGGTTCAGCTCCGATTGAGTAAATTACTTTTGTTAGACCGGCAGAGCTGTCCCAATAATGAGGAGCTGTTGCCTCAGGCAGCATTTCTTTGGGTCACGTTAGGGGATGGCAGGCAGAGCATCATGGCCATTCTGCCGCACAGTTTACAGTGTGCCTGCCGCCCCCTTCCTCACCAGAGTGCCATACACATCTCCCGGCCCAGGTTTTAGCAACATGGGACGAAGTGGCTGGCGTCCCGCTCAGCTTCTGGCATCCAGTGACATCAGATGAGCAGGATGCTCTGGCCAGTTCCTGTCCAGCTCCTAACAAGCAGTAACGTCACTACACAGGAGCTGGCAAAACACCATCCAGAGCTGGAGTCATAGCTGGAGCTGGATGGCGCCCCCTTCCCCCTCAACAGTTACCTTGGACAACCGCTACCCACCCCCAGCACCCCCCTTTCCCCAGGTGTCAAAAAAGCAAGGGACGCCCCTGCGGCCAGGCTACCCCCCCCCTGGTAATTCCTATTACTCGCCTGAAATTCTAGCAATGTATGGTCAGCCTTGGGCAGATTTCTTCCAGTGTGCACCACAAATATGTGAATGCCAAGTAATGTGCACACACAGTTTAGTGTAATAGCTCTTTCCAAAGCATTGTAGACACAAGAATTGTGAGACCAGTTGGTACAAGTTGATATCATGATAGCTTTAAAGGAGAACTATGGAGTCAGGGCTTTTCCCCATAGTTCTCCTAAGGGTAACGGGAGGACACAAACTAGCGTCCTCCCGTCACCCAAAGCTCACTATACCGCGAGCTACAGCTCGCGGTATACTGAATAACCGCAGCCGGGACGGATCCCGACATTACTGTCTGGATCCACCCAGCTGCGTGAGTGACAGCTGGCTCTGCCTATCCAGAGGCAGAACCAGCTCTACCCGCCCCCTCTCCCGTCCGTTCCGCCAGTCAGCGCAGGAGGATCAGGCAGGGGAGGGGGGAAATCCCTGCAGGTAGCCGTGAGTGACAGTCACGTCTCTCTGTAGAGACAGGCTCGAGAAGTGAGCGAGCAACGGTATGTGTTCGCTCACTTCCCGATCTATTGAGCCGACCTGTGACAGTTTCATTGTCACAGGTCGGCTAGAACTATGAGAATGAGTGATTTTCACTCACCTCATAGTTCTCCTTTAAATAACATTGGCTCTTCAGTTTAGTGCTTTTACTTTTATTATTATAGTTGTATTACTATTATTATCATCATTACTAAAATGTTATGTTTGCATTTTAAGGTTGTGGATAAAGCTTGTCAACAACTGTGTTGTGTTAGGACCTGCTTACACAAGCCATGCAAACCCATGCACAGTGCTCTATAGACCCTCACACTGCACTGGTGTTCATAAATGCTGATCTAACACATTAAATATAATCTGTGTATAAATAATATTAGGGTTTATCTGAGCATAAATGATCTTGGTAACCAGCCACGAGTTTGAACCCAAGTTACAACATACTGTACAGGAAATATTGCAATAGTCAGGAAGTTTAATCAAACTGCGGTAATCATGTTTTTTATAAAATTTAGCATGGACAGATTTTTGCAGGTTTTTCACAGCGTTTAAAGCAACTGTCACTGATAAGGTAAAATCAGACAATTCCTGCAATAAAATATTATTTAATACTTACCTGTCCAGACACTTGTCCATAGAATGTTTGCTCTGTTGCTGAGCAAATCCGCTCCAAGAATCTTCATAACGCTTTCAATCCCCACCGCATTCCCTGTTTCCTACCACCAGCCCCACGTCTGTACTGTAGGTACATAGTGGCCAATAGGAGTAAACACAGAATGCAGTAGGTGCATGTAGGCACCAAGCAAACCCATAAGTGGGTGAGATGTGAAGATCCTTCTGGTGGCTGTTCTCAGCAACAAAGTGAAGATTTTACAAACAGGCCCCAGGACAAGTACGGTAAGTGTAAAATGTCTTCTTTCATTTTTATCAATCAGCTTAGTAAATATTCTAAATAGGCACTTATATCATAGCTTTGTCTCATGCTGAGATCCGTCTGTGAATTAATATGAAGCATCTGTCTGACGTCTCTCTTACAGATCCAGACTGGGCATCCTACACTCTTGGGTTGTTCATTTGCTTGAACTGTTCTGGAATTCACCGCAACATCCCTCAGATCAGCAGAGTGAAATCTGTCCGTTTAGACCCATGGGATGATGTACAGATTGAGGTACAGACTTGTTTTCCGCACAGTGATCCTTTTTTACAGATGTACTATTTTCTGCTAGTTTCTTGGGTAGAGTTGTTCCCAGTCAAGGTTTACCTCCAGTGACAGTTTGGAGCAAGTTGATTCCCAGAACAAAATTTAAGGTTGGAGCACTCAACTTTTAGAAATGTATAGAGAATGACTTATTTGTAGGGATGCACCGATACTAGTATCGGTATTGGTGCCGATACCGAGTATTACTCGGTGTCGGCACCAATACTGAGTATTTGGGCTAAAATGCTCCAAATGCTTATCCCGATACCGCAACTTCTGGTATCAGGAAGCCTGCCGGTAAGTCATTACTCTCCGCCCGGCTTCCTGGTTGGCCAGGAAGCCTGCTCCATGCTCCCTGGTCACCAGGGAGCATGGAGCAGGCTTCCTGGCCAATCAGGAACCCAGGGGGCGGATAATGACTCGCCCCCCGACTTCCTAATTGGCTAGAAAGCCGGCTCCATGCTTCCTCGTCACCTGGTGACGAGGGAGCATAGAGCCGCCCTCCAGGCCAATCAGGAGGCAGGGCGGCGAGTCATTAACTGCCCCCTGACTTCCAGATTGGCCAGAAAGCCAGCTCCATGCTTCCTGGTGACGAGGGAGCATAGAGTCGGCTTCCCCGCTAATCAGGAAGCCGGGCAGCGAGTCGTTACACGCTGCTCAGCTTCCTTAATGAGACTTCTGGTATCGGTGTTCGGTATCGGCGAAAAAAATGATCTGTACTCGATACTGAAGTAACGGTGCATCCTAATTATCTGTTTTAATAATAGCACTGGTTATGTTATGGCATTTACAAAAAATAAAGCTTTACTTTATGGGAAAAACTTTACTACAAAAGGAAAAAATGAATTCAGATCCTTGAAAGATGAATGCCAAATTGTTGCTCTTTGATACTGTATTTTGCATGTATTGAATAGCCCTGTTAATTCATAATATACACTGCCTGGCCAAAAAAAGTCACCACCTTGGTCAGGTCTAGGTTTAGCAACGTTACGTGCCCAAAAATGAGGTCAGCTGCCTACCTGAATATACTGAATGACCATTTTTTTCCCCATCGTTGGATTTTTTCTTACCTGATGGCACGGGCATATTCCAAGAAAAAATGCCAGGATTCAGCGGGCTCAAATTGTGAAAAAGAGGGGTTCAGAGAGCATGAAAACATCATTGTCATCGTGGAATATGCCTGTGCCATCTGGGAAGAAAAAATCCATTGATGGAAAAACCTGATCATTCAGTATATTCAGGAAGACAGCTGACCTCATTTTTTGGACACATAATGTTGCTGAACCTAGACCTGACCAACTGAACCAACCCCAGATCATAACACTGCCCTAAATCCAAGTGGCGGCCTTTTTTGGCCAGGCAATGAACATCAAAAACATGTAAACTCATCTGCATTAATTGAGACTCTGTTTATCTTGGTAGTCCCAGCATGGGACTTAAGGGCAGGTTGCGCTGTGCTTGACGCTAGCCACAACTTTTTAGGCCCAGCAACCCACAGCATTCCAGATAGTTTGGTTGATTCCACTGTAGTGACACACAAGAAAAGGAACCAAACAGTAGAGGAAGATGGAAGGATATGACTATATTCCAAGCTGGTATTCTCATTGTAGATCATGTACCTGCTCTTGTAAGAAGGTAAACAGGGACCTCCAAATGTGATTACATGAGCAAGGAAATAATGTATAATGAGGTTTGACATGCTGCACATCGATAAATATTGTATTTGTCTCTTGATCCCCAGTGGCAAATTAAGACAATGTAAGACATTGGGCTATAATGTTAAACTGCCCCACTTCCAGCATCTTCCTATTTTTTTATTTATTTTCAAATGTGCTGGGGGTAAATACAATACACAATGTACTGTAAAAAGACGTTTTACTTGGGGTAAACATCAGCATTGTAAAGTGGCTCATTGCATTATTAAAGTTGATAAAGACAACCAAACTAGACAAAGACAACCAGTCAGTCATTTATCCTGAGGAATAGCTAAACTCTTCTGTACCACTAATACAAACCAGAACCCACCATACATAAGGGTATCTCACACAATATACAAAGCCATGGTTAATTTGGGGGGGGGGGGGGGGGGTTGTGAG